CCTGAAGCTGTATACTATGCAAAGGAAGGAGACTTATTACCTCAACAGTTTTGGAGGCTGAAGGTCCAAGACTGCAGGGGGTCCATATGTTTGGCCTCTTGTGGGGCCCCATTGGCTGCATCACAACATGATGGAGGAATGAGAAGGAAAATAGCTGCATGCAGAAGGAGCCAAGCATGGCAGGTGGCCTCCATTTGTAACAACCTACTCTTGTGATAAATAACTAGGATCCTTCAAGAACCATATGAATCTCTTCTGCGGGTGATGCCCTTGTTAGTCAGCTTTTCATCACTGGAACAAAATATCTGAGAAAATCAAGTTAGAGGAGAAAATATTTATTTTGTCTTCTAGTTTCAGATCACTGTCAGCCAACTCCATTGTTTTGGGGCCTTTGGTGAGGCAGAACATCATGACAGAAGGGCATGGCGTGGTGGAGAAAAGGTACTCACCTCATGGCAGCTGAGAAGCAGAGAACAAGGAAATGACTGAGGACGAGATGCACCTTTTCAGGGATCTAGTTTCCCCAATGATCTACTTCCTCCAACTAGTTCCTACTCCCTACAGTTTCTACCACCTCCAAATAAAGCCACTATGAACCCATCAATGGATTAACTGATTGATGAAGTTAGAGCCCTCTCCATCCAGTCACTTTCCAGGAGCATTGTTGCACTGGGGACCAAGCCTTCAACAAGTAGCCTTTGGGGGACATTTCAGAACCAAACCATAGCAGCCCCTTGGGACCTCATCACTTCCCACTAGGTCCCATCTCTTAAAGTTTCCACAAACACTGCCCCAGAGATCCAAGCTTCAAGCCTATGAATCTTTGAGGGGCAAATCACATTCAAAACATAGCCCCCTCCCTTACCCTCAGGATATCTTCTGAAACTCCCAGTGGATGCCTGAAACTACAGATAGTACCGAACCCTATATATACTATGTTTTTTCCTATCATACCTATGATAAAATTTAATTTACAAATTAGTCACAATAAGAAAATAGTGGTTGACTACACATAATCTAAACTATAAAAGCAAAATTGTGGATACGGGGGAACTACTCTACATATTTCTTATTATATCACAATAGCACAAAACTGAAACTTTCTACTCCTTAAATGGTAATTCTCTATTTCCCCTTACTCCAAGACTTATGTCTATTTTATTTTTTATATCACACTGTTTTGATGACTTTACTTTATAGAAGTCTTGAAATCAGCTTGAATTCTCCTAAATTTATTCTTTTCCAAAATTTTTTTATTCCTTTAATATTGGAATTTGTTCTAGAGTGCAGTTAACTTGGAATTAGATTGGTCTTTTTGAGGCTTGCTTTTAATCTTTTTCAGGGTGATTCTGGGAGAATTTTCCCACTACTAATGCACGATTTCTGAGGATTTTACTGATGTCCTCTGTATTATGAGGTCTTCCCACTTTGGCTGATGGGAACACAGATCTCCTCAGCCTATGTGAGTTCTGAGGATTATTCTACTCCTTTCTTGGACCACATATGGAAGCTAAAAACTTGAGGGGCCTCTTTTCCAGAGGCCTGGAACATGTTCTCCTCTGTGCATCATCTTCTTCTTTGGTACTATGTCCTGCAAATTCTGCTCATTTTGCTTTTGTTCCTGTTACTCCCTCTTGGTCTTAAGCAGATATTCTTTGAAAATTCCATAATCTTTTTTTTTTTTCCTTTGGTGGTTCTGGGTATTGAACTCAGGGGTGTTTTACCACTGAACTACATCCCCACCCCTTTTTATTTTTTATTTTGAAGCAAAATCTCACTAAGTTGTAGAGGCTGTTCTTGAACTTGCAGTCTTTTTGCCTCAGCCTCCTGAGTCACTGGGATTACAGGTGTGCACCACCATGTCCAGCTAAATACCATAATCTTTAAAACCCTTTCTCATAGATAGATATTTACCATGGAATCAATTAGAAGCTATATGGAAATAATGTTGTCCATCTTCCTCTCCTTTTGCATTTCTGTACAATAAGATTGGCCTCTAGGATTGGCCAAAAGGCACATACATTTTAAATTTTGAAATATCAACAACTGTGAGCAGTCTTTTCACTTAATTGCAAGCTACAAAAGGTTAATTTTCTATAGTTCTGTGGATGCTGACAGAAGAAATGAAATGCCTGGGTTAGAAATTGAAGAACTTTTGACTTATATTGAAACAATAGCCAGTATGTTGGCATACTTACAAAGGATTTTTTCTTAAAATTTTATTTCATTTTAATGTTTTTTGAAACAGGATCTTGCTTTGTTTCCCAGGCTGGCCTCCAACTCCTAGGCTCAGGAGATCTTCCTGCTTCAGCCTGGGGCTACAGCCATATACTATAGGACCTGGCTTTTTACAGGGTTCTTGAGGCTTCAATTCCTATAGTGTTACATGCAGGGATGAATGACCCCTGCATTTGCAATGGGTAAAGGCTCAAAACAAGCAGGGCATGGTGATACATGCCTGTAATCCCAGCACTTTGGAGGCTGAGACAGGAGGATTGCGAGTTCAAAGCCAGCCTCAGCAAAAGTGAGGCACTAAGCAACTCAGTGAAACCCTGTCTCTAAATAAAAAATACAAAAAAAAAAAAAAAATAGGGTTGAGAATGTGGCTCAGTAGTCAAGTGCCCCTGAGTTCAATCCCTGGTACTGCCCCCTCAAATAAAAGGCTCAAAAATTTTTGTAGTTTATTTGTTTTTCTAATTTTTTTGAGATGGTGTTTTGCCATACTGGCCTCAAACCCAAGTAGCGGATACATGTAGGCATGACTAGGCCCCTGAGGGCCCAGTGCTTTTTGAGCAAACAACAAACTTTATAATGAGCAGCAACCCCACCCCTAGTAGTGAGCAGTCACAGGGTATTCACTGTGTGCATAGCTTCAGAAACTGCTCAGCATCAGGAGATGGAAGCCTTAGAGTCTGGTACAACTCAATCAGAACACCAGAGATGCCCAAGGGCAGTAGCTGCCAGTTTTCCCAACAATATACTATGACAATTCCTCTAGAAAGACTATGCCAATTTAAGCCTGCCTTAAATTTTGGGAAAGAATTGTAGCTCTGAAATACTTCATTGTCATTCGAAAAGGGGTCTGAGAGAAGAAGAGGATCTCAACTCAATCCTGTTTCTTGGCTTATGCCACAGAAAGGAATTTTAGGATGTGTTAGAAGAGACACAAACACAGGTTTATTTAAGAAAGCAAAGATATTTATTTAGGAAAGCAAACAATAAAGCAGAAAACACAAAGAGAGGGGTGTGTCACTCCATAGTGAGAAATACTTTGAGTGAAATGCCCTGTTGGGGTCTTGGCTCTTCCTTTAAAGAAAATTTATAAATAGCGAATGTGGGAAATGTGTGTGAGTTGACCTCAGTCTAGGGAGCTTAGTTTACTTTGTGGTACCCGGGATTGAACCCAAGGGTGCTTAACCACTGGGCCACATCCCTAGCTTCCCTCATCCCCTTTTAAATTTCTTATTTTGAGACAGGGTCTCACTAGGTTGCTTAAAGCCTCACTAAGTTGCCAAGGCTGGCTTACCAACCTGTGATTCTTGTGACTCAGCCTTTTGAGGATTAGAGGCCTATGCTACTAGGCCTGGCAGTAAGCTTAATTTTCTTAAAAAGCACAGGGTGAATCATAGTGGTCTGGTTTTTCAGGATCTCTTGGTTGATGTCATCCAGTCAACACACAATGTTTGGAATATACCCAAATCATAACTCTCTAACTATATTTTCTCTTTGCTTTATTTAGTCTAAAGAAAATATGCTATAAAAACTAGTAATTTATGTAGGCATTAATCATCTGGATTCACAATACTCTAAGAGTCAAAGACTTTTTATGAATTCAGGCTTGGGGAAAAACAGGCTTGGGGAGTAAAGGTGAGGATGTACATGGAGCTTAGATTTACAATTATAATTTTTTTTTTTTTTTACCTTCCCTGTCTCTTTTCTACCTATCCTTTAGCCAGTTTCATGGGTGAAAGTTGACTTATTGTTGTGTTACTTTTCATTTTTGTTTAATGAAGTTGAATATCTTTTCATATGTTTATTGAAAGTTTGTGAGATTGTTCTTTAAAACCTAATCTCTCTGAGACTTCCATTTCTGTGTTTTCACTTGGGGAAAACAAACTGAAGAAAGACCTCTATTCATCATCTGAACCTGTCAGTGTTGGTCACATTTCCAGCTAGAGTGCTGCCTAATCATTTTTCAACTGGAGGACCGTGGCATTTCCCCTTTCACTTGGGCTGTGTGGACACAAACTTTTGTCATGCAACGTAAGATGCCCTTTCCCGTCATCTGTGCCCGGCTCCAAAAAGAGCCAGGCTTCAGGGCATTAAGAGAGTTCCTTTTTCTTACACATAAACCAAGTTGGCCTCTGGAAGGAGGAAGTACATTTCATAGTCGCCAGTGCACAATATAAGGAATTCAAATATGTCCTCCCGTTTCGCAGAGAAACATATCTGGAGTTTCCCTTTTCTGCTCTCCCAAAGTTCTGGAGCCTCAGAACTTGGAAGCAGAATGAATCACTGGTGTAAACCCAGTGTGTATGTACTGAAAAGGTGGCTACTAGCCTCAAATGGGAAATACTCGCGAACGTTTCTTTAGGATGCTTGAGTGGTCTAGTCCTGTGCCAGCCTGGCAGTCTCTTTCCGTGGACACTGGTTTCACCGTGCACAGTTAGAAACTACAAAATGAACCAATTACTCGCATCAGAAGTGTCTGCTCTTTCCGCTTTCGGTCCTGCGCTCTGGCGTGTTCCTGGGTAATGCCAAGGAATATCCATTTAATAAATGGTGCTCACAACGTAAACGCTCGGTCAGCAGCCGGACAGCTGGAGTCAGCAGCGCCCCCCGGGGCGCTAGGCAGAGGGCTGTGTAGCCCAGTGGGGGCCACCGCACCGCCGGCCCCGCCCGCAGCCTCGGTGCCACCCCACCAGCGCGTGCGCAGCCAATGGGCGCGGGGCACGCCTCCAACCCCACGGCGCCGGGACCTGCCACCCAGCTCCGCGCAGGACAGCCCCGCCCGTGATTTGGTCTTCGCGCTCGCTGTGACCGTCCCTGGCCCCGTTAGGCTCTTGGCCATGGCGTCTTCAGCGGCCGGCGGGGTGGTGATTGTTGGCAGGTAAAGGGTGCCGAAGTGTCGTGCTGTTAACGATGGAGCCTGGGGAGGCGCTGGGGACGCGCTCTCCCGCGTTTGGGCCCACGCGTCGCGTCCATCCGGGTGGGCACCCTCCCTGCGAACGGTGGGGTGCGCCAACTTCCCGCCCTCCCAGGGGCTCTTAGCCCTCGTCTCTCTTCACGGAGCTGACTAGGCTGGGAAAGCGTCTGGGTCAGCGGCGGTGTCAGGTAGAGGCACCCTGCAGAGTGCTAATGTGAAACTTGGTGCTGATTTACCTGAAGGGTCCGAAAGCTGACAGAGCAGGCTGCGATGGCAGTGCAGTTCCTGGGATCCACCAAATGATGCCGGGCCTACCAGCTAGTCCAATAGGCGCGCAAGGCATTGAGCATAAGGAAAATAAATTTTGGCAATAATCCTGCGATAACTGTAATGTTATTCAGTTTTTGAATGAGAAAACGGAAATGAAGCAGTTTGCCCAAGGTCATAGTAAAAGATGAGAGTAGCCCAGAAAGGAGGGTTCAGATGCATGCTTGTCAAGGCGGCCTGCAGGGTGCATTCCTGTCTGCTAGGAGGTAATTGGAAGCCCGAACAGCGAACGCACCTGAACACACCTGGCGCATGAATTGGCGTTTCTGAGGGTGAAGGCCTCATCGGTTTAACAAATAGATTTCTGGTGTGTGCTCCCACGCCCACTTTCTTTTCTTTTTTAAGTTAAGAAGGGGAGGCATATTATATATAACTTTCCATTGGCTAGCTTTCCTTAGCAAGTCTATAAACGTGAAAATACAAACTACAGATGTAATCAAATGTTTTGGTAGTTGTTTTAAAGTAAAAAGTAATAGATAAAACTAGATGCATGCTTATGATCCTAGCTACTTGGGAGGTTGGGGTGAGGGGAGGATTGCTTGAGCTTAGGAATTCAAGGGCAGTTTGGGCAACATAGCAAGACCCTATCTCAAAAAAAAAAAAAGTTGAAAAATTTTATAGCACGTTTTATTCAACATAGTATCTTTAAAGTGTTATTATTTAAACAAGTATTAAATTTTATAAATGAAATAGTTTACTTTTTTAACATTGTTTTCAAAATCCAGCATATATTTAATACTTTCAGTGCATATGTTTTAGTCAGCTTTTTTTGTTTGTTTGTTTGTTTTTTGTTTAAGCCACTGCAACGGAAAGACCTAACAGGAACAATTTTAGAAGAAGAAAAGTTAAATATGGTTTTAGAGCTCTCATCTATAGACAACCAGCTCCATTGCTCTAGCCCCACATGAGGCAGAACCTCATAGTGGAAAGGTATAGTGGAGGAAAGCAGATCAGAACATGGTAATCAGGAAGAAGAGAGAGCTCTCACTCACCAGAGATAAAATTTAAATCCCAAAAGCCTGCATGCCCCAATGACCAACCTTCTCCAGTCATACCCTACCTGCCTACAGTTAATCCCTATCAATGGATTAATGCACTGACAAGGTTAAAGCTTTCATAACCCAATCATTTCACCTGTAAACTTTCTGCATTGTCTCACACATAAGCTTTGGGGCCACTTCATACCTAAACCATAACAGATGGAGCTTAACATTCCCTATGACTAATGGCAATCACACTAGACAAGGTTGGTTTAAGCAATGATAGAATCTTTATTAAGAAAGCAGATATTTAAAAAAAACTTTCTTCTCCCCTCATTTTGTGAAGACTCCTTTAAAAAGTACTTATAGGGCAGGTAGCCTGAGTGGCAAAGTACTTGCCTAGTAGGCATGAGGCCCAGGGTTCTGTTCTGTTAGGGTAGCTTGCACAAATATCCAGGAGAGACATACCTCTGAGTCAAGCAAAAGTTTATTGACAGAGAATATCAGCCAGGCTGCCCTTCTGCAAGGTGCAGCAGTCTGCTGAAAAAACTTCTTAACTATATAGTCATGCACAATGAAGTAGTTAAAAAAATAACCCATCTGGTCCTGTGATTATCACATGGTGTCTTTGTTGTGGTTTGGGTAGTTAGGGACTCTTTGGGGCTGAATGAGAAGGTCAGGCTTGGGTGGGCTTTTCAAAATGGAGTTACTTTGGCCTAAGGACCTAACAGCTTCTATGCCTAGCACTGCAAAACAAAAAACTTCTAATTATTTTCAAAATGCAGGTCAAGCTGTGAGAGGAGGTTTGCTTAATGAGACCAAACTGTGGAAAGTCTTTGACCTTTAGCTGTTGTAGGCCAATCAAGGGTCTCCACTTTTCTAACTTTGTGTAGCCTGAGGCTTACTTCATCCCCTTGCCTGACACCTCCTGTTTCCTTTGATACTTTCACCATGTGGCTGACCTGGGATGTAATAGAACCTAGTACAGAGAGTGGTCTGGTGCCACGCAGGTGAAGGCTTTTACAGCTTGAGATGAGATGGGCCATTTTGTGGGGTTGCATTGTTTTCTTAAATGAAAAAGTGGAAAAAAAGATACTTTTATTTTAGAAAATATCCTTATGGATTACATCATACATATATGCATAATACAAAAATGCTAAATATATAACTCAATGAATTATCACAGAGTGAATATACTGCTGAAACCCCCATGGTGAAAATGTTCTTCAGTCTGAAGTTAGACTCTGTTAAGGATTTCTTTTGTGGTTAAATAATTTATGATAATAGTGACAGGAAAGAAAAGTCTTTAAAGGTGATTACTGACTGGTCAGTTGGAGACAAGCATGAATGTTCATTGGGCTATAGACATCCCTTCGTATCCATGGGAGATTGGCTCCAAGGTTCCTGAGGATGACGATACCAAATCTGCTCATGTTCAAGTCCTTTATATAAAATAGTGTTGGATTTACATAGAACCTATACAACCTTCCTGTACAGATAACTTATAATACTTGATACAATATAAATGCTATGTAAATAGTTGTTATTGATTGGGGACACAACTCAATCATAGAGTATTTGTCTAACATGCTCAGAGCTTCAGGTGAGATCCCCAGCACCCCAAGAAAAGAATAAAAAGTTGTTATGTTGTATTTTTTTGGGGTAAAATTGGGAGTTCATAACCCACTTCAATCTAATGTATGAAATATGATATGTCAAGAGCTTTGTAATGTTGTGAACAACCAATAAAAATTAAAAAAAAAGAAAAAAAAAGAAAATAACAGTAAGAAAAAAAGTCTGTACATGTTCAATATTGATGCAATTTTTCCCTGAATATTTCAATCCATAGGTATGGATGGCTGTCTGTATATTCTTGGTAGTCACTATCACATTTTGATAGTGAGCACTTGAACTTGTCTAGCTTTAGTACTGCTGATTTCCTGAGTTTTAACATTTATTTGACTTTAATTCTAATGTAAATAGCTACATGTGGCTAGAGTATACTGTATTTATCAGTACATGTCTAGAATCCTGAGAGTGTCACTAATAATTCACATGTATATAATATGCACATTTTATATTAATTACAAAAGGTTTCATATTATAGAAGAATATGGAGTAAATGGGGATATAATATCCTATTCCTTTATCCAGAGCTCCAGTGAAAGTGATTTTAATTGTGTGTGCAACAAATGGCTTCACATAAGATACTTTGTAATAAGATGGTGACCTTCTCTGTGACCCCTTTAATGTACTTGAGGCTTAGCTCAAGTGAGTATTGTGTGAGAGCTTTGAAGCTTGGCAAGCACTTCTGTGGCATTAGAGGATTTTCAAGTCTATACAAGGCATGCCAGGGTCTTCCCTTCACCAGTTTGGGCCAGTTCTAACAGAAGCTGTTAGTCTCTGCTGTGAGACATCTCCTATGTTCACAGTGCCACTGTATAGATGGGAGATGGAGTAGGGAGAATACTTCTGGATCCTACCCTAAGACTGCTCTTGAAGGCCCCCTGCCACCAAACTGCTTTTAGGTTTGAGACAAGCTTGCCCTCCCCTCTCTGCTCTCATGTGTTCCATCTGTTGGAGTGCTAATAACTTAGTCTGCTACTGTTTCATGGATGCTGGCTGAGGACATCAGTCTTCTGGATCAGTGACAAAGGACTTCACTAATCGTGGTGTAGCAGGTGGCTTTGAGTATCATATAGACATACTTTATTGTGCTTTTCTTTATTGTTCTTCACAGATATTGTTTTAAGCAATAAAATGTCTTTTAATTAAGGGATATACATTGGGTTTTTTTTTTTTTAGACACAATGTAAGACTGAAGTAAACACAACCTCTTTTTTTGTGTCTGGTGGTGGGGATTTAACCCAGGGCCTTGAGCATTTTAGGCAAGTGCTCTACCACTGAGCCACATCTTCCTAAACATAACTTTGAAATGGGAAACTCATGTGACTTGCTTTATTGTGAAATTAGCTTATTTGTGGTGGTCTGGGACTGAACCTATAATATCTCTGAAGTATGCCTATATTTTCATTGGTTTCCCTTCTCTTAGAATCACATAGGGGTGCATGAAGGGCCTGTGTGGATTTCAAGAGAATACTGAGTTTAGGGACACCTACATTTTATAGTAAGCAATAAACGATTCTGCTCTTTGTCCTCTCTCAAGGTTTCTTGCTACATATATAACTCTGAGAAGTAGTCCTGGTGAAGAATGGCCAGAGCCTTGTAGTCTTAGCATACCCAGCAAGACATGTAAGAGCTCATGGAAGAAGTCTTCCAATACCGAATCCTTGGCTCTGTCTACACATCCCCTTGACACCTCTGAAATGGAGGATATATTGCTGCTATGGCATTTATTAGATTAGGACCTGATGCCTGCTTCACATTTTCAGGAGCTTTCAATTTAGAGAAACCCTAGAGAACTTTTTTGATTTGTCTTTGAATTGTCTGAGGAGTACTCAGGACAGCTTGTGGATGAAATGCAACTTGATTTTGATATTATAAGTAGAATTTGAAAATTTCAGGATTGGGGGCTGGGGATGTGGCTCAAGTGGTAGCGCACTTGCCTGGCATGTGTGTGGCCCGGGTTCAATCCTCAGCACCACATACCAACAAAGATGTTGTGTCCACCGAAAACTGAAAAATGAATATTAAAAA